ACCCGTTTTGTAAAACAAATGGATAACTTACATTATATTTGTGTTAATTGCTCATATTTAATTGTGTAATCCTGGGCGTGTGTGTTCCCAATTTTGTAACCTTCAGAGAACGTTCCCAGAACTTTACCCGCTACCTTCAGAGAACATTCAAAGAACGTTAAGAAAACCATCCTTTGGAACCTTTAGGGAACATTGGTAACCGTCAGAGAACATTTAGAGAACATTCCCAGAACGTTCCCCACTACCTTCATACAACCAAAAGAGAACGTTCAAAGAACATTAAGAAAACGATCTGTTTGAACCTTTAGGTAACATTGGTGCAACGTTCAGGGAACGGTCTCACAACTTTCAGGGTACGTTCCCAGAACCAAAATGTGTTAAAGGATAAACCAACTCAGAAGTTCAAAGACATTAAAAGTTCCTCCATAGAAGCCGCTCCTCCGTAGGTATACCCTTACGAAAAAAGGTTGCAGTTAGAGTGCAGTATAACTGCAGTATGCTGCAAATACTACTTCCAAAATAACTGTTTTTTTACTGCAGTAATTTTGCAGTGTAACTGCAGTTAGAGTGCAGTATAACTGCAGTACACTGCTGTTATTCTGCAATTACTGCATCCAAAATACCACAGTCGATTGCACTTTTACTGCAGTTTCAAAACGGCAATATTTTTTTGTAAGGGTAATTCTGTGGGCCTAATTCAGATAATGCATGTCATAACAAGATTCCCAGGGCTTTTAGGCAAGCTTCCTCCATCCTCTCTCGCTATCTACACCCTCAAAATGTCAGATGCATCTCGCACCCTACACTGTGACTGGCAGCAGTGTGTATGTTTGTCTTTCATTATGATTAAACCATGCTGTTACGGCAAAATACAATTAGCTCTTAACGACTTTCCTATAGGCTACAGATTAAATACAAACCCGCTCCACAGCAAGCTGCTCTATCCGCTCTGATGGGAGAAGTAATTTAATGTCGAGCCAAATGTTTAAAATAAAAAAGTATATTTCCATAGGTTATAAAAGGAACAGAAAGGAACAATATAAACCAATATTTTGGGGGGTTCGAACCAGTTCAGAACTTTATTTTGCTGGTCGGAGTAGGAAAAAAATATTGTTCTGTTCAGAACGAAACGATTGGAAAATAATTTTGATTCCAACCCCTGATGTTAAGGCATTTTCATCCTGACGGGATGTAGCTGCAGGAGTCAGAGCCAGGTTCACCACATTCCAGCTATGAGATACACAACACGTCCACTCATACCATTCTAAATACCACATAAAAACGTTGGGAACCACTGTGTTAGTAAGTCATTGGTAACTTATAGCAAAGGGAATGTTCACTGTTTGTGACTTGCTGGTTCCTACTGCCAGAGGCGTTACTATGGGTGGGTAGTAATAAGATAGTCAGTCATACAATAGTGTCCCATTCTTAATTTTGATATCTGAGGAAATCAAAGTACGTCCTCAACCACATCAGATAGGTACTGTATATCAGTGAAAAAAACAGAAATTTCAGACCGTTTTTTCTTCACATACTTTTCTCTTCCAGCAATAGAATCATATTGTTATAGTTACATACAGTGCCTTCGGAAAGTATTCAGACCCCTTTACTTTTCCCACATTTTGTTATGTTACAGCCTTATTCTAAAATTGATAAAATTGTTTTTCTTTCCTCATCAATCTACACACAATACCCCATTATGAAAAAGCAAAAACAGGTTTTTAGAAATGTTTGCTAATTTATAAATAAATAGAAATTGCTTCGAGTCTTCTTGGGTATGACGCTACAAGCTTGGCACATCTGTATTTGAGGAGTTTCTCCCATTCTTCTCTGCAGATCCTCTCAAGCTCTGTCAGGTTGGATGGGGAGTGTTGCTGTACAGCTATTTTCAGGTCTTTCCAGAGATGTTTGATCGGGTTCAAGTCCGGGCTCTGGCTGGGCCACTCAAGGACATCCAGAGACTTGTCCCAAAGCCACTCCTGCGTTGTCTTGGCTGTGGGCTTAGGGTCGTTGTCCTATTGGAAGGTGAACATTTGTCCCAGTCTGAGGTCCGGAGTGCTCTGGAGCAGGTTTTCATCAAGGATCTCACTGTACTGCTCCGTGCATCTTTCCCTCGATCCTGACTAGTCTCCCTGTTCCTGCCGCTGAAAAACATCACCACAGCATGATGCTGCCACCACTATGCTTCACCGTAGGGATGGTGCCAGGTTTCCTCCAGACGTGGCGCTTGGCATTCAGGCCAAAGAGTTCAATCTTGGTTTCATCAGACCAGAGAATCTTATTTCTCATGGTCTGAGAGTCTTTAGGTACCTTTTGGCAAACTCCAAGTGGGCTGTCATGTGCCTTTCACTGAGGAGTGGATTTCGTCTGGCCACTCTACCATGAAGGCCTGATTGGTGGAGTGCTGCAGAGATGGTTGTCCTTCTGGAAGGTTCTCCCATCTCCACAGAGGAACTCTAGAGCTCTGTCAGAGTGACCATCAGGTTCTTGGTCACCTCCCTGACCAAGGCCCTTCTCCCCCGATTGCTCAGTTTGGCCAGCTCTTTGTGGTTCCAAACTTCAATCAAGTTGTAGAAACATCTCAAGGATGATCAATAGAAACAGGATGCACCTGAGCTCAATTTTGAGTCTCAGCTGGTAGAGCACAGCGCTTGTAACGCCAAGGTAGTGGGTTCGATCCCCGGGACCACCCATACACAAAAATGTATGCACGCATGACTGTAAGTCGCTTTGGATAAAAGCGTCTGCTAAATGGCATATTATTATTTATTATTATAGCAAAGGTTCTGAATACTTATGTAAATAAGGTATTTCTGTTTTTTATTTGTAATATATTAGCAAACATTTCTAAAAACCTGTTTTCACTTTGTCATTATGGGGTATTGTGTGTAGATTGCTGAGGAGTTTTATTTCTTTAATCGACTTTAGAATAAGGCTGTAACGTAACAAAATGTGGAAAAAGTCAAGGGGTCTGAATACTTTCCGACATAAATAACTAGGTAGTCATATGAACAGTGCCAATTGTGCTTTGGATAATACGATACTAGAGAATGTCTTTGTCCCTCTATGTCTTAACACAACGTGTGAAAATCTTCTGTTTTTATACACTATGATAAGATATCATAATTACTTGAAATGAGTGAAATTGTGTGTTTGTATTGGGCATGAAGTATAACATTGTTTTCCTCAGGGAAGTCAGTGCAGGTAAATCAGTTTCCGTTGTAGGCTGCTGCATGCCTTACTTTTAAACCATGTACTTGAATGTAATACAATACATTGTCATCATGTTGAACATGTAGTTATTCAATGTTTTCTTGTCTTGGACGTGTTTTTACCTAATGCGCAAACGTTAAAAAAAAAAAAAGAGGAATATATATTTTTAAATAATATATTGGTTTGTTTTATAGCTTTTTATGATTTTAAATCGTTTGTAATTGTATCAAGGGAAAGGTTCAGTTGTTACACAAGGTGATAGTAGGTAGTAGTGCCTTACATTATTTCATTTTTATATGCAAGCATTATTTCTCCTTCCTGAATACAATATTTTAAACATCAAACATTATTTTTCATATGTAAACTAAATTATATGAGTTTGACTGTCCTTTATGTTTGATACAGAAGTTGTTCATAAGGACTTGTCTGGAATCAGATTACACCACCCAAATCCACACCAACACAATGAAGGGATTAAAAACCCAGCTGACTCTGGATCATTGTGGCCAATATCCTGAATCCCCAGCAGAGGTCCCCGTTGTATCGCTACCACACTCCCAAACACGATAATGGAGGTAGGCTCTCTAGTCTTGGAATGTGGTCTCAAAGCATTTCGTAATATTCTGTACGTAAATCAGTGACAATCCATTTAATATGATATTTATGTTTCCTATGGTATGTATTCATTTGTTGATGTCCATCATCCACTTCGTATGATATGTTATGATTTACAATTCGTATCATATTTTATGAATTACAATTCGTACAATATGTTAGTGATTTGAAAACATACAATATGTCACGAATTTTCTAAATGTATGATATGTTATGAATTCCAATTTGTTGTGGCTAACGTTAGCTAGGTGGCTAACGCTAACGTTAGCTAGCTCTAGGAGTTAGGGTAAGGTTAGGTTAGGGTTAGATAAAATGGTTAAGGTTAGGGTTAGGTGAAGGGTTAGCTAACAGCTAATTAAGTTGCAAAGTAGCGAAAAAGTAGTAAGTAGTTGCAAAGTTGCTAATTAGCTAAAATTGTCCGTGATGAAATTCGAACATGCAACCTTTGGCTTGCTTGTCAATCGCTTTATTACGCCCCAACCCAACCCGAGGGTTGCTAGATGTTTGCGTCATACGCCCACCCACCCCGACCAACCACTCTCCTTTCGTTTTTGCCTTAAGTAACCTTCTATCTTATGTAACCATACCAAACCTAACATATCATAATAATTTGAGTATCCCGGATTTACATTAACATATCATAATAATTTGAGTATCCCGGATTTACATTAACTATGCTACGTCTAGTCTATGAGACCAGTCTGAGTCTAGTGTTTATACATGTGCTCTCCAAAGGGCTGACAGACACCCCAACATTTTGTTAACCATGAAAAAGGCTATCATTCTTAATCCTAATTAAGCAATGCATAGGCTATAATTAAACAAAATGTCCATTGTACCACCTGCTGCAGTTCAATGCTCTGCCATCTTGTTCAGTTCATGACTGACATGGTTTCTAAATGAGCTACGTTGTATGTGTGATATCATTTTGAGAACACTGGATACATAACTGTGGTGGCTTTAATTGTAATTTTCCCGGTGGCATAGGGACAGTAGGCCTAGATCAATGACGTTTCCAAAATATTGGGGGAAAAACAGCGTCCATCAAGCGGAAACCAATTAAATCCCTTGTTTTAGGGCGAGCCTCCGTAACTTTAGCCAACCAGACCGCCGGAATTGGATCCTTGCCTCTGAGCGTACAGAAATGCAGTCATGTGATGGGCGCATAAAAAATGCCAACATGGAACCTTGGCAGTGACGGGATCTCTCTCTGCAACAATAACACGACGGAGAAAAACTTCGAGGACGGTGCATTTCGAAAGCGCTTAATATATTTCATGATTATAGACGGTAAGTTCGCCATTACTAGTGGTAGTTGCTCTTTTCTTTTGCGCTGGATGCTTAGATTTGTATTTATAGAACGCTTCGAGTTTGAGACTCGTGAATTCCTGTCTGGCTGTTGTAGTCAGGTGGCTTGCCATGCGCCTCGCCTGCCCATGCGCTGAGTTTAAAAGCAGTTGAAGTTTTAAATAATAGTGTTTGCTGACTTCGAAGAACGTATCGATTGTATAACATTATTCACTTTCGTGTAATTACGCACTTGTTACAGTTCTGCACCATGTTGTTTTGCGCCCGAGACACATACGGGCGTCATGTGGGCAGTGTTTACGCTGGACGCGTCATTATGCACAATGTATCCATTTAATTATCCCGCTTGTTGCTGCACTGTTATGATGGTCGAATTAATTATATTAAATAACACTGATAGGTTTATTTTTCATTTGATGACAGATATATTTGCTCTGTTTCAGTACATGCGTTTAGGCCTTGATCCCATTCGGATGAGATGTTTGGCCTAATAATTTGTTGATTGTCAGCTTTCAGTTAGCCTATTATTACCTAGCTCTGTTACAGTGCACAGTTTCGCAAAGTTGCACCCTGCTGTTTTCACACACCACCTTGGCTATGACACATCCTCTCACCTTGCACTCGCATTTCCATTGGACCATTCCACATTTCCATTGTTCCTACAAATACGGCTAGGTGCAACCTTCCTAAACTGCGTTTCAGTATTAAATATTACGTTCTTATTCATGTTTAACTATTCACATTTTTAACTGTGGTATCCCTCACATTTTCTGTGCAGGTGTAGTGAGAAGTGTGGTACCTGCTCATCTCCTGTTTATTTGGACTGTATATGGACTGTTTCAATGGTGTCGTTAAGCAGCAGAGCGCTGGTCCCTGATAATGACCTCTTTAGGGACAGTGCTAGCCTGGTCTCCTTGGAGCTTGAGGAGGGAGAGGGCAGTGAGGGGAGGAGCGAGGGGGGTAGCTTTGCCTCCGGTTACAGCCCAGATGCCGGGGACATGGGTGCTCGGCTCAGCTTCAGCCCTGGAGAGGAGGAGGAGGATGATGAAGGGGGCCTGCTCCGACTTTATTTGACCCCCACAGAGCGGGATAGAGAGAAGCGAGAAGAAGACATGCTGCAGGACCCCAGGCTGCCTAACTTCAGCCCCCGCCTGCCTTCGCCCTTCTCTCCCACCCTTGAGGACATTGAGGAATTCCTCAGGGAGAAGATGGAGCTGGTGAGAGAGGGGGTTCTCTTCTCTAGTGAACCCATTGAGGAGCCCGCTCCCTCCCCTTCCAGCTCCATGGAACATCCTCTCTCCTCCCCAGGGGGACAAAGTGACCCAGGGACCAGCGCTGCCCTGTCACCCCCCACCCCACAAACCCCCAACATCCCTCACAGCCCAGCAGCCCCATGCCCCTCCCCGTCCCCCTCCACCCCCTCAGTGCTCCTGGGAGCACCCTTGTTACTCCAGGTCCAGTCGCTGCCGCTGGCACAGCCTCTCCCCCAGACAGGCTCTCCTCCTGGGGCGTCCAGCGGGCTGAGATTGGCCCACCTGGTCTTGGGGCTCCACGGAGGGCAGAACTTTACCCTGCTTGCCTCACAGGTGCCCTCCGCCCCAGCCACCCTTCTCAACGTAGCCAGCATGGACGCCGGAGCTCCAGACCAGAAGTATGTGAAGATTGCCCCTCTACCGATCACTGTGAGGCTTGTTGGGGCAACGGTGGTTGGGGGTCACAGTGGAGGGGCTGTGGTGAAAGCTGTGGCCCCCCATAGGGTGAACAGACACCCTCCTATAGAGACGCTGAGGGTGCACAAGTGTTCTCATCCAGGCTGTGAGAAGATGTACACCAAGAGCAGCCATCTGAAGGCCCACTTCCGCAGACACACAGGAGAGAAGCCCTACACCTGCAGCTGGCCTGACTGTGGCTGGAGGTGGGTTATATCATAACAATGCTAGTCAACATGCAGAAAACACAGGAAGCTTAGGTTTGTTTAGTTCATTATCATATAGCCTAGTCATTAACGTGATAGGATAATACAACTGAGAGAAGAAAGAAAAGCCTGTAATGACTGGTTCAAAATGAAGTGGGTATAATGATGACAGTAGAAAATATGCTCTATACCCCTTGTTAGGATATTGACACAGTATTCCACTGTAAATTTAACATAAAGAAGAAAAAAAAAATCTGTCTGCGGAGGTAGGGAATAGAGCTGGTATAAGACAGTAACAATATAGAGGCTCCGCAAATATGAGATATTACAACACTCACAGTTTCTAATATCCCAATAAGCAACTGCAGTGAGCTCCCTAAGGAAAGGATTGGGGTTCGGGTTATTGAGGTAGTTAGAGGATATGTTGTTTGTACACTGGTACAAAACATTAGGAACACCTGGTCTTACCATTACATAGACTGACCAGGTTAATCCAGGTGAAAGCTATGATCCCTTATTGATGTAAACTGTTATATCCACTTCAATCAGTGTAGATGAAGGGGAGGAGACGGGTTAAAGAAGGATTTTTAAGCCTTGAGACATGGATTGTGTATGTGTGCCATTGAGGGTGAATGGGCAATACAAAAGATTTATGTGGCTTTTGAACGGGGTATTTTAGTAGGTGCCAGGTGCACCAGTTTGAGTGTGTCAAGAACTGCAACAATGCTGGATTTTTCATGCTCAACAGTTTCCTGTGTGTATCAAGAATGGTCCACCACCCAAAGGACATCCAGCCAACTTGACACAACTGTGGGAAGCATTGGAGTCAACATGGGCCAGCAACCCTGTGGAATGCTTTCGACACCTTGTGGAGTCCATGCCCCGATGAATTGAGGCTGTTCTCAGGACATAAGGGCTGCAACTCAATATTAGGAAGGTGTATCCTAATGTTTTGTACACTGTGTATATTGTAAATACTGTTTGACCCACCATTTAGTGTTCCTATTTACCTCCAGAGTTGAGTCTGAGCGCTAGTCTGCGGGCTATCAAACAGTGGGAATAACCGGCCTCCTGACACACTTGGCTGTTTAACTTAGAAACAATTAGAATTAAAAGAAATGATCAAAACACCAATGTGTTTTATCTCAGGACTTTTCTCAGGGTGTTTGGGTGTTGACCTGTGCTCCTCTATCTCTGTAGGTTCTCTCGTTCTGATGAGCTGTCTCGTCACCGGCGCTCCCACTCTGGGGTCAAGCCCTACGAGTGCTCTCTGTGTGAGAAGAAGTTTGCCCGCAGCGACCACCTCTCCAAACACACCAAGGTGCACCGCAGCCCCCGGCCTGGCAAAAACATCAGAACTACCGTCTGACCCAGCCAGCCCAGTCGGGATCCTGATTCCACTCTCACTCACCCTTAAACCTGTTGCAGCCCTTGACCAGGATGGCAGAATTATAAGAACCTGCATCCAGAATTCAGAGCAGCCTGGTCCCCTACCTTTACCCTGGCTATGCCTGCCCAGCCCAACCTAGCTCAGTCCAATCTCAACCTGACCACGGGCTGACAGACTCATCAGACTCATCCACCCAGCCCTGCCCCAGGGAGGCCACGCCAGGGAGTCTTGAGTCCTCATCAGGACTCTGGTGCTACAGAAGCAGACCTGGGCCAGAACGTAGAGTAGGGCATGGTTTCCCAAACTTGGTCCTGGGGCCCCCCATTGGTGCACGTTTTGGTTTTTGCCCTAGCACTACACAGCTGATTCAAATAATCAAAGCTTGATGATGAGTTGGTTATTTGAATCAGCTGTGTAGTGCTAGGGTAAAAACCAAAACGTGCACCCAGAGGGGGCCCCAGGACCGAGTTTGGGAAACCCTGGAGTAGGGCTCTGAATCTGATTCAGCCGGAGCAGATGAGGGCTTGTCCTGGTGCTACACAGTGAACTAACAGGTAACGGCCATCTCAGGGATGCGATTGTTCAGCTTAAAGAAGAAGTTCACTTTATTTGAACCAAATCTGTATTTTGAATGTAAATGGCATGTTGTAAAAGTGCCCAGACACATGAAATTGTGTCATTCCAAACTTTATCCGCAACGTTATATTCAATTTTGTGCGACTCAAGCGGTTTCCCTGATCCAGCTGTGCTGCTTCTCCGTGTAGCACGCACATGCATACATGGAAAAGTATTGTGGGTTACACAGAGAATTATCGCACGAGTCGCACAAAATGGAATATAACGTTGTGGATAAAGTTCGCAATTACACAATTTCATGTCTAAAACATCTAAAAGACCTGCATCACTATACTGAGAGCGTTGCAGTTTCTAAAATGACGGATTTGGGTGTTTTTGGAGCTTTTGTTCATGTTTAATTTGCAACCCTGCAACTGCTGAACGAGCATGAGGAAGTATATCGCTGGTGGTGTAAGTTTCTCAAAAACAACTGAGATTGCACAAAACTGTCTGGGCACTTCTATAACATGCTATTTACATACAGATTTGGTTCAAATAAAGTGAACTTCTCCTTTAAAGCGGATTTCAGGCCTTTAGGCTAAATTGCATCTTGCTTCCCCCCCCCCCCGCCATACACATACATATACACACACCTCGTTACCCTGAGCAGATGACAAATATGTGACAGGCAGTTGCTCACTGTATAACAGTGTTTTAAATGTAATTTGAGTTTAAAACCCTACACGGTCACTCACACATTCTATTCTACATATTCTATTGTTCTGTGAATCTGCTTCATGAGTTACTCCCTTTTCAAGACGGTTTTAGAGGTCAATGCACCGTAAATAACCCAGCTCATTCTAGCCTATAATCTGTGCTATTAGCCCAGTTGGAAGTACTGTGTTGATATGTGAGTTTAGAGATTCTCTCAGAGAACAGGTGATGAGTCTAAATCTCTTACATATCCCCTCCTGCTCCCCACAGTACTAAACCTCTGTCCCAATCACATCCCTACCTGACCCTACAAGGGCCAATCCAGTGCTTTTACCACTGCTTCCCTGACCTCGTGCCTCCCACTCCACAAAAGACCTCGGGGCTGCAGACTAGTCTGTTGGTTTTCACCATGGTGCTGCTCTGTTCCATTATGTAATAACTGGTTAGTTAAGAGTCCACTCACACCCACCTGGTTTCCCAGGTTTGCATCAGATGCTGATTGAAGGGTAAGAGTGACTGAGTGAAAACCAGCAGACACCGCAGCCGTCCTGGTCCATGCTCTTAAACGACTGGTATGAGTAAAAAAGAAGAAGCCAAGCCAAACCAAAAGTCCTATTTGACTTTTCAGTCACCTTTTTGTGCGAACTGCTCACACATTGTATGATGTAGAACCTATCAGCTATTTTACTTTCTTTCTATGTCTTTGAAATCAGTGTTGAAATGACAAAAGTGACTTGGCTAAAGCTAGTTGTGTATACTGTGTTTTATACATTGGCTTTACAATGCAAAGTAACCGATTTTGTAAGGAACTGCTTAGTAATTTACAGTAGTATAGGTTAGTAGGTTAGGCCAGCAAGCAAAGCTAATCATTTACAGTATAGTAGCCAACTGTACCTGAAAAGAGCAGCTGATCTTTATCCGTCAAATATCACATTTACAGAACATGTAGAAGCTCCTATCCAGAGACAACCCCCAGTCAGTATATTAAGCTATCCAGTGGTGTCTGTGCTTGATTCTCTCATGTAGCTTAGCTTGGTGAACCTGTAGAATGTTATTGAGGGGTTATCAGGTCAGCCAGACAGGAATTAATTATGAGACCCACTAACATTGAGTTAACATCAAGATGAGCCCTCTGTTCTCAAGTGCACTTACTGTATGTTAGCAGGTATTTCAGCAGGAGGGGGTTTAGCATGGATAAATGCTATACCAAGGACTGGAGGGCTCTGTTATGGTATGTAAGCTGTATCTATGGGTTTGGGTTTAAGATGGTAAAAGGTAATTTTTCAACAGGCTACTGCACTTAGTAAATCATATAGAGAACTATGGACTTTTCAGGGTAGCAGAGTCTTGGCCAACATCCCTTGAGAGAACTGTACTCACATTTGCCACCCATCACAGTGGTTCAGAACTTTTGGTTAAAACGCGTTGCCCTTGGATGGGTAAACTCAGAATTGAGCACTCCAACATACCACCGCCCTTCATCAACAGCATCGCTGGCAATTATCATCACCATCACATGGCCTCTTAAACAGTTTGTTGTTCTTTGAGCATGACTAGTTCGAATAGATCACGACCACACAATCCCACTCAGAAGTCTGACCCAGCTGTGTGTCCATGGCTGGTCTAGACCCTCTGATTCAGTCCTGTTGTGTGTTCCCCTTCCTGCCTTACCTTTAACTATGGGTTTCTCTCTCCCAATAACTATATCATCCGAAGTATACACACACACTCAACTGTACTGTATGTCTGCTGAAATACAGGTTCTATTTTTTCAAATACCAGAAAAGCTATTTTCTTATGTATGAGAATAAAGGATAAGAAAATTGAAGCATCCTCGTCGTTATTTGAGTCATCATGGCTTATGTTTTGTGGATTTCAAGACACAAAATGATCCATGCGTTCATGGGAAAGATCCAAAGATTGTAAAATTGTTTCTTTTTCTTTTTGCCAAACAACGGTGAGGATTGTGGTAGTGGGTAAGTGGTGGCACCGCAACCACAGCGGTAGGCCGTTCCTACAAGTCTCTGCCTGGGAAGAGAATGCCGTAGGCTCCATTACTGCGAATGATGGCATATTTCTAACATTGATTTCGCTGTTACAGGGTGAAGGAATGCTAGAGAGAGGAATTCTCCCTGTGCTCCTCAGAAGCCAGCCTGCCTGTAAGACTGGAATGTCTGGCTCTGTGTGGAGCGGAGTTGTTCTGGGACTGAGGGAATGTCTTAAAGTCTGGGTTGCATTTTTTTTTTTTATTTTATAGCATCCCCTGCCCTTTTTCACTCCCCTTTACAAACCTGAGACGACTGGGTAGCTGTAAGCCTCCATCCCTCACCCTAGGGCTTTTCTCAATTGGATTTTGCTCAACTCCTGCGTCCTCTCTCCATCCTCTCTGGCCTTTTTGGGAATAGGTCAAAGAAAGTTGAGGAGAGTTGATGAGTAGATGGAAAGTGGGCGAAAATGTGCTTGTATGAAATGAGAGACTCCTCCAACCGCATGTCATTAGCTAAATTATGTTTAGAGGGTGGAATCCCAAAATAAATGTACAGCATAAAGATATCAAAACAAATGTAGCTAGTTGTGCAATATTCTTTTGGGATATAAGGACAAGTAGCATATCATTTTTAAATGTTAGCATGCTTTTCTACTTCAAGAAAACAATAGCTGATTCAAAGGGGGTCAGAGAGGAAGAGGCAAAGCGAGAGTCCCAACTTGGCCAAAAGTCTGTCTTCTCTAGCAGGTGCCGTTGTTTCGTTTCTTTTGCTAACCAAGCGAGGAGTTTTTGTATGGTGGTCAATAAGAGTGTCGAATTTGGTCAACAAGAAATTGAATGGCTTATTTGCTCAAATAGAAGTTTCGTAATGCTTAGGTTGTTACAAGTGTACTGATATAAGTAGGACACGTGACCAGAGGCGCAACTTTGGTTTTAAAAGTGGGGGGGGGGGGACATAACCTGGCGGGGGGTTTGGTGGTCCTCCCTCAGACTTTTCTTGGGCATCTAAAGTTAATTTCCTGCATTTCTACACAATCTAATATGACCTTTTTGGGGTCATTTCTATTGTAAAGAATATAATATGTTTCGAAACACTTCTACATGAATGTGGATGCTACCATGATTACAGTGCCTTTGGAAAGTATTCAGACCCCTTGACCTTTTCCACATTTTGTTACAGCCTTATTCTAAAATGGATTTTAAAAAACAATCCTCAGCAATCTACACACAATACCCCATAATGACAAAGCGAAAAGGTTTAGACATTTTTCCTGATTTATAAAAAATAAAAAACAGAAATACCCTATTTACATAAGTATTCAGACCCTTTGCTATCGAAATTGAGCTCAGGTGCATCCTGTTTCCATTGATCATCCTTGAGATGTTTCTACAACTTGGAGTCCACCTGTGGTAAATTCAATTGATTGGACTTGATTTGGAAAGGCACACACCACTCTATATAAGGTCCCACAATTGACAGTGCATGTCAGAGCAAAAACCAAGCCATGAGGTCGAAATAATTGTCTGTAGCTCTCCGAGACAGGATTATGTCGAGGCATCGAATGGAAGAAGTTTGGAACCACCAAGACTCTTCCTAGAGCTGGCCGCCCGGTCAAACTGAGTAATCGGGGGAAAAGGGCCTTGGTCAGGGAGGTGACCAAGAACCCAATGGTCACTCTGACAGAGCTCTAGAGTTCCTCTGTGGAGATGGGAGAACCTCCCA